TCCTACACAGAGTCCTACATGTATCAGGATATATTATGACACCCTTCGTTAAAACTCCGCTATGTCAAGTTTTTCAAATCATAACCTTTCACCAAGGTAACAGTAACCATAAATTACAAATCGCTCCTAATCGCTGCATATATATTACCCCTGCTACATCTACAGCTGTACGACGTCTTACCTTCTCATTCTTGTTAGCTATTGCAAAGTTGAGAACGCTCAGCTTCTGGGCTTCTTTCCCTCCTCTAACCTCTACATGCTCAAGTGTCTCAATTCCCGGTACACTCATCAAACAGCCGATTTCTTCCATCGATCGGCACTTCGTGAGAAGTGAAACGGCGAACTCTTCACATGCGCTAGACAGCGCCTGGTAATCATTCTTAAGCTCGTATTCGTCTTCCATAAGATTTTCCAGCTTCCGGTTTAGAAGGAACGCACAAATGATCGGGTCTTTGGATGATTTTATATCTTGATCTCCATTGGGAGAAGGATCGAGTAAATAAGACAAACATAAGTAAACAGGGCTTGCCAGCGCACGGTAGCTATGCAAACGATGAATGGAACTTGCAAGACGTTTGCCTTCACACTCCCCACATTTACACGATCTCCTGTGAAAAGATGGCTCTTTAATCGTGTAGCCTTTCGCAAGGAGAATCTTCACAATCTCTTGATTATTACTTTGGGCAGCCAAGACTAGAGGTGCGATGTATTTTGTATAACAATGATCTTCACTAGCTTTACTTGCCTCCTGATCTCGTGAGGCAGCTGCTGTTGTCGCGTGGCTTTGAGCGTTCGGGTCTTCATCTAGTAACAGTGTTACCCAGACAATTGACTCATTCGCGACGGCATACAGCAACGCGTTATCGACATCTGCACCTTGTTTAAGAAGGAACTTAGCAATTTCATGGCGGTTGTTGCTCACTGCTATTTGAAGAGCCGTTTCTCCGAGCAGGTTTGCGCAGTTCACATCAACAGACCTCTGCAAGATGTATTCGCACACTCTGGCATAATCTCCGTCACGCACTGCGTCTAGGAATTCAGTTTGATCTTCACCTAATACAGTGTCTCTTGATGGAGAATCCGTCAAGTCATCAAGGGTTACTGCTACAGATGGATTTTCGAAGACTCTTTGAGGACTTCTCGAAGCCATCGTGGTTCCATCGGATTACTATACTTTCGTTCCGGTTTCGTTGCCCATCAGTGTCTCTGAAATATCGTCAACTGACGTGACCTCTCTTCCAGTTCTCTCACGGTAGCCAACGTGTATCCGCACTCTCACCCCGACGTTTTACTTTTGTCGGAGGAAGGGTTCGACTACATGTATTTTAGGACGCATGGGGACCAGCAGCCGCCGTTTGCTAGGAAGTGCAAACCGTTTTCATCAGGTGAATCAACAAAAAAAACCCTTTTAGTGTCAACAAAAGGATCATTGCGGATCATGGAAACTGGATTAAACAACATTGTTAAATAAGACTCATAGTTAATTCAACGATTTTATTCACAGTTGCTTAGATACAATTAACCTGCGACAGGAGTCCTTTTCAATGCAATAAAATCAAATTGATTCCTTTTGTCTTTGACTTAAGTCTTTTTAGAAGGGATTTGTTTGAGAGCAAAGATGATGCGCGGTGGGTAAGTAAAGTGGCCGCAAGTTACAACGCGCCTCGCAGTAGCATCTACTTTTGCGTGTCACTCTAGTGTGACTTCTCGCGACTCTCCCAAATGGAGGGCAAAAGAGCCAATATCTGCATGTTCAGTTTGAGCTCTCCATTATCGGTAGTGTCTATAGCATATGTAGATTGCAGTATTGTTATGCGCGGGGTAGGTTCTTGGGCCTTTTTGACGGCGGAGTCTCGAAGGAATTTGACTTGTTCCCAATCTTCTTCCAACAGCATTCGCCCTCAAATGTTTGTCATTCTAGTGAGGAGGGTTCCAACAGACCACACAGGTGATCACCGTACGTCATGTGTTCGAACTTTAGACAGAAAATGATGAGAGGGTATAGTACTGAATAATCTTTATTAATTTTTGTGACTTTCTATTGTCGTCGATAAACACTATTTTTCAGAGGTTAGACTGTCTCTTCAGTAAACGCTTCCATATTTTATGTGAACTCATTCATACTCATAGGATATCAAAAAGAATATATAAAAGTAAGATATAAAATGTATTAAATAATAATAATAATAATAATAATAATAATAATAATAATAATAATAAGTTCTGAAAAAAGGCACCGATCCAATGTGTAGAATTTGCAACCAACACCAGGAAACAGTGGACCACCTCGTCTCAGGATGCCCTGAACTTTGCCAAAATAGAGTTCGTACAAAGACATAATAAAGCAGCAATATGTAAGCACTATAGCATCAAAGCACAAAACAAATATTACAAACATAAGCCATCGACAGTAACTGAAAACAACACAGTGACTACACTCTGGGATATGCCAGCCCAGACAAACAAAGAGATCAAGGCAAACAGGCCAAACATAGTAGTGAAAGACAAGGAGAAGAGAACTTGCCTGCTTATTGATATGTCTATCCCCAATGGAAAAAAAAACACTTCTATAAAAACAGTAGAAAAACTTTCGAAGTGCAAGGATCTTGAGACAGAAATTGGGAAAACAAGGAAACCAAAAACAACAACTGTCCTGGTGCTCATTGGTGCTCTCAGGCTTGTCAAGAAGGGGACTGGAAACTACATCAGCAAGATCCCCTCAAACATCAGAATAACAGAGCTTCAGAAGATTGTCCTTCTTGGGACAGCTCAAATACTCAGGAGGTCACTATCCATCAAGTAATCCACGAAACTTATGACCGCCTTATGTTCATGGAATAAACTCTGCTCCATACGAGGAAAGAGCACGACTCCAAAGAGAATTAATCATCATCATCATCATCATCATCATCAAATTAAATATTTTTTTTAATGGAAAGGAATTGTAAATAGTGTTTTAACTGAATAGAATTTTTTAAGCGAATTTATTGTAAATAGGATTTTAATGGTTATTATTGTTTACTGTTAACAATAATAATAATAATAATAATAATAATAATAATTGTAATTCAAATAATTGCATACTTATAAAATTAAAACCTGAAAGAGCTGCACCGCTTCATTTCAAAAACAACACTTAAAACCCTTATTTAAAACCTGTTTTGTTTCACTATGAATTTTATAGGGTCGCCGTAAGTGCATATCACAATCCAAATGTTCGGTGAATCGTCAAGAAGGTAACCACAAAACGCGACCTTTTCTGTTGTTCCTAGTGTTCAACTTTCCTACTTAAGAAGGTCAAAAGCTATAACTTAGAGAGTACTGTCACAGCGTTTCACATGTTCTTATCATAATGACAACACAAATTGAACTTGACTCTATACGGGATAAAAATTCTTTTGAATCATAATAAAAATTGATGACTTATCAGTCTATTTTACTGTGGATTCTTTTGTTTTATTTCCCCCTTGAATACGAGCAAAGAGACAAAAAAGGGCCGGCACTGTTCAGTTCTTATGTTGCCATTCTACTTGACTTGATCAAGTCCGTAGAACTTCACCACGTTATCGCAGAAAACTGCCTCCTTCTCTTTGTCAGTCAGATGTGAAACGCACTGCAAATAAGCTTCAAATGTCTTCTTGTAAGATGCGTCTCTTGATAGAGTACGAACTGGCCAATCAGATCCAAACATACAGCGTTCTCCCCCAAATACGGAAGTCACATGCTACAAAGGGAATTGAAAATCATTTAACAATCAATCACTCACTCAGGCTTTCTCATGTTCTGTTACATGAAAGTAAACTAGACTGTTCACAGTCCCCTATTTTCTCGTAAGATTGTCTGGATAGAGCGCTTACCGGTACGGGCGGCCATCTTGGTAGATTTGACATTCATCCAAGATGGCCGCCTGTAACGCAAAGTCTTCGATCTCGACAATCTTACGGAAACATAGGGAACTGTGAACAATCCAAAAGTAAACCTAACCTTTACATAAGGAATTAAGTCTTCGACTTTCCAGTTCTCTCTGGACGCTTAAGTGACAAGACCCGAGCTGCAAAATGAATGGGCAACTACATAGAGATCAACAATGAAAAATGACATAGACAAAGTAACATAATGCGCCCGAAGTCAAGTCCCGGAAGGGCGAGGATTGCACCAAATCTACAGCTCAGTATAGTTCAATATCCTTCTTGCATACTTATTAGCATTTAGTTATGGTAAGTCACCCCAGACGAGCAAGCTCGATGGGGAAGACACGTAGGTGCTAATAAAGTAAGCAGAAGGGGCGGGTGGGTGGGGGCGACTCCAACTAAAGTTAGTCAAACTAACAACTGTGAATAATTAACACATGCTTATATACTATGCGCGACGTCTATTGAATATTAATATTAAGGTAAAAATATTTCAATATCCTTCTCGCATACTTATTAGCATTTAGTTATGGGAAGTCACCCCAGACTGCGCCTATCGCTGTAGAATCCCCTACATAATCCTAACATAAACACCATGATGAACTCTTATCCTTCCCCATCCTTAACTAAATTGAACTCTCTCAACCCTAACTAATCCCCAAACCCATACAACAAAATCTTAACAAATCGCCACAAGTCAATGGGTTGTCCATTACTCGTCACTTGTTGAAATTGTGAAAGTCGTGGTGTGTGTGTTTCTGTGTGCTTCAACTTGTACGAAGGGTAAAAGTGGTTAGATCAGCCTTTCAATTCATGCGATTGGTACTAGTCGTGAATGGGTGATAGTTCCGTGTGATAATTTGAGGTATGACATATAGTGAAAATGCATCTCACTTCCACGTGCAATTGGAGAACACGCATCTCATTAGCGACAAAAAGACTTGGTTGGCAAAGTTGTCGTGAAGGGACCCTTTCAAGTGGTACGACTCGTTCGAGTCGTGCAAATCACATCTGCTAGAGAGAGGTTACGCGGGATCTCACACGTACGACCCTCTCATAAATACATTTTGAGACAGAAAACTAGCCCTCCGACATAAAAGAGAAATCTACGAATCTTGCCTTTTGTGAGTCACACAATACCGTCACACTAAGTGCCTAACCTAAAGCAAAGTTACGTGAGAAACTAGCATTGAATATAACAACAACCATTACTGAGCGAAATTTGCAAGAGTCCGCCCCTCATATCGTACAAAGGAGAACAGTTGATCAAAGACTTACCGCATGGGCGCCAAACTATGAAAAGGCTAAAACACGCGCCGGGCACGGGGAGTCATGCAGGCCAGTCAACCCCCTTTTACACCTGTTACACGGTATTGTACGCATTAGTATTTACGCAATCATTTTAACGCGTCGGCGGCCTCAGCATGGTTAGGTGCGCGATTCAATTTAATGAAGTGAGGCGCACTGGATTATGGAACGGGGACCACCAACCCATGTGATCCTTGTTAACTTTGTCCTAGCATTGCGGGAGAAATTATATATGTAGTTTCTAAATCGCGTAAGGGTGGCTCCCCGGTTAGCCTGGGCTCGAACGGGACTAGTGTAGATAGAAACTTTGGGCGCGATCTATTTTGATTGAAAGGGGCCAGGATAGCCTCTAACAAACCCAATCAGATCTGCACTACAATAATCACACAAAGAGGGCAGAGTCTGCTTGACACCAGGGAACAAGCCCTTTAGGAAGCAACCGGTGTCGGTTGTCTGAGTCGACCCCAAACTCCTACCCCATCACCAGCAAATAAGCTGAGAGTGCCCGGAAAGGGTCGATACCTTCTGTGACGAGAAATGAACCTGAGTTGACGAGTAATAACTATTCACGAATGCAAACCCGTAAAACCCGAAAGGATGGCTCTAGTAACTGTTTGTTCTCATCTTTGTGGCTGATTAATGAGGGCTTGAGTGAGCGTTACAGCGGTCTTACTGCGTCTACTTTGCCCTCCCAGTTTCCAAAAATTGAGTAAGCCAGCTTGAGCACTTAAATCGCTTGGCGAAGGAAGAGGATATGGCTCCCTTCCTATAAAACGATGCGATTTCAGCAAAATCTGCAGTCTTTCGTGAAAAGGGGGTTGTCAACTGAACAAAACAAAACGTCCACACAATGCATACTAAAGATTATGACTCTTTCTGAAGCACAGTTAAAACGACTGAAAATGCTAACTCTCGTGTAATATTACGCCAC